AGGGCCATGGGGCAGGTGACCCTCCCTCAGCCCAGCCCTGGGGAGGGGGCTGAGCTGCCTCCCCCGTGCCCACCCCCCTGTGCCCTGCAGCTGCACCTACATCATTGAAGTGCTTTGTGTTCTTCATGATGTATGGAGTCCTCTCGTTCTTCTCCAGCTTCATCCAGCCTTGCCCAAAGAATTCCCTGCAAATCACAGTGCTCAGGTCAACTTTTATTCATCAGTTTTGTGGGATGTCCAAGCCCTGCAAGCTCCACTGCCTCTGCACAGGATGGAGATCCCGGGGTCTGCCCCACACTGCTGGAAAGGGACCATGGATGTGGCTGGAGGTGTGCTGGTTGTGGGAGGGTGTCCCTGAGCCGATTACCTTGGGACATCCCACAAAAGCAGAGAAGCCACAGGGCTCCAAATCTGCCCTTGAGCCCAGGCTGGGCTACTGGCAAAGCCCAGGAAGACTCTTCACTGTCTGGGGTCAGCCCAGCCAGGCTGCCCATGGGGCCCTGGGTGACCAGAGCCGCCTTTCCTGACCCACGGGGATCACTCACTCATATGGGATCTTCTTGAAGACCAGGTGGTCCAGCAGCGTCAGCTGTTCTGCGATCTCCAGGGCTGAATGGTTCTCAAAGGGCTCTGCTTTGACCCCCTCGGCCTGTGGGACAGAGAACAGTGGGGCTCAGCAGGCAGGAGCTCAGAGAGAATCCCACATGCCATGGACACAGGCCCTGAGCCAAGCCAGGCTCCCAGGCCAAAGGCCTTCCCCAGCAGAGCTGGGCTGTGCAGTGCTCCAGGGGCACCCCAGCCCACACTGTGCTCCTGCCAGCCTCGAGAACCCCGGGGATTTAATCATGCAGCCTTTGGCTGTTTAATTAGCAAAGCACCCAGGGATCCCAGCTGGAGCGCCGCTGCCCTTGCCCAGGAGGGGCAAGGCAGGCCTGCCAAGGGATTTCCAGGAAAGCAGGGGAAGGGGGATGGACCCTGTCCCACTGCCTGGCTCTGGCCAAGCAGCACAGCAGGCCTCAGGGTGCCCCACATGGAGCCAAGGCCTGAGGTCCCGACTGCACAGAGCCACTGGTGACTGTCCTAAACCATCACAGAGACATGGTCACTGAGACCAGTCCTTGGGCACAGCTCAGGATCACCCCACACCCCCACAACAGCCCCACAAACAGGGCTTGGATGGGGCTGGTGCCACTCCTGCAACACCACCAGGGGCTGGTGCCACTCCCTGCAACAGCTCCACCCTGCTGCCTTCAGGGAGAAGATCAGCCACCAAACACAACAAACCGCACGGCATCCCGCCCAAATAAACCCCAAACTGCCCTGGTGACACAGGAGAACCCCCCAGGATCAACACACACACACAAGAGCACAGCACAGGGCAAGAGCCCCTTGCACAATCCCTTGGGACAGGGCTTGGGAAAGCTCCAGCAAACAACGCAGCCCCCTGCTCATGGTGTGCACCCCAAAGCCCAGGGCACCCTCACATCCCAGCACCCTTGGACTGCAGGTGCTGCTGCCCAGCCTGAGGGGCAGAGCAAAGCCCTCAGGGCTCTTCTGTCCTCTCCTCTTCAGAGGAAGATTCCAGAACATGCAGTTATGGGAACAGCCCAAACAAAGCCCAGGAGGGAGTGCCCCCTCCAGAAGGCACCAGCAGAGCCAGGGGACGGAGTCATGGGTGTTTCAGGTGCTCCAGGCCAGTTTCAAGTGGCTCTTGTGTTCCTCTGGAAACAGGTTTGGTTGGGTTTTTTCAGTGCAGAAGGGCAGCAAGTGCTCTGCAGCTGCCCTGGGGGCTCTAAATCCATGCACATTCCCAGGGCTCCCTTTCCAGTGATGCTGACTGAGCCAGAGCCCCTCGTTTGGAACTGGAACGGCTTTGGGGACATGATGGGAGCCCCTGGGGCACAGGCAGCAGCAGGCAGGTGTCTCTGTGCCCTCTGTAGCCATTCTGCTGACTGCAGGGGAATAATGTGCCTGTGGGCTGGCTGGTGCTGCCTCTGCCCTACCAGATCCAGCTGTGCTCACAGCTGGCCCCTCCCAGAAAGCCTTTCCTGCTGTGCAGCTGCACCCCTGGCACTGCCCCTGGGGGCTGGCTCTGCCCCGAGTGAGCACCAGGACCTTTGGCTGCTCCCCTTTCACCCCCCAAGGCACCAGGGGCAGGCAGGCAGGGAAGGTGTATTTACCATCTGCACCACTTCCTCCAGGGTTATCTGGTTGTCTCCTGGATCCTCCTGCGTCAAGGTCCTGTGGCACAGAAAGAGAGGGTTACTGCAGCTGGGAGAGCACCAGACCCACACAGCTCCAGCAGGGCAGCACAGCCCCAAGGAACAGCACGGCTGCAACGCTCAGCCTGTGTGTCAGGAGACCCCCTCAGTGCCATTCCTCATTTTACAGAGAAAAGCACTCCTTAGCCGTGGCCAGTGTCCCCACAAGTGTCAGCCCTGCTGCAAGACAAGAGTCCTGCCCTCAGTGAGGGGTGGGCACACCCTGAGTGCCAGCACAGCCTGGGAGCCACGGTGCCACACCAGCACCCGGCAGCAGCAGGGCCAGCACCCTCTGGGCTCAGCACTGAGCCTCAGCAGGGCACCAAGGGGCTCACACCCACCCTGCCCTGAGGCTGAGAGCAGCCAGCCTCCTCCTCATCTTCCTCCCTGGCTGCTCCCAGCCCCTGCTGAGCCTGTTGTGCTCCTGGGTGAGAGCAGGAGCAGCCAGCAGCTGGCAGTGCCAGGACAGGCCTGGCACAAAACCTGCAGCCCCTCACCTGATGATGTTGGCAGCTGCCTTCCTCTCCTGCGTCAGGAGCTCAGGGTCATGGATCACCTCCTCCAGGAAGCCAATCACCCGGAACTTCAGCTCCTCGTTGGTCTCAAAGTCCTGCCAAGGCCAGCACAGCCTGGGATTAATTACTGTGCTGGAGTGACCCTGATCCAGCAGAGCTGCTTTCTTCCCGGCTGGGCAAGGGGCTGCCTCTTCCAGCACAATCCCAGCACAGGAGGGCAGCAGGCTCGCTCAGTCCCATTGCATCAGCATCCCCACCCTGGGAGAGCTGTGTATTCCCAGTGAGAACCAGCACAGCACTGCTGCCACTGCCCCGCCACCAGTGCAGGAGGGACAGCACAGCAGGGACGGCTCCCAGTGCCGTGAGCCCATCCTGGGCATCCCACAGGCACCAAACCCAGAGACTCCTCCTGCTCTGCACCAGCCAGGGGTGCTGGCAGGCCCAGCTCCCCTCCTCTGCACCCCAGCTGTGCAAACACTGATGTGACCCTGTTCCCTGCCCCTCACCATCTGCACTGCTCCATCAGGCCCTCAGTGCCAGACTGCCCTCTCAGCAGTGCTGGCTGAGCTGCCCAGCGCGCGGGGGAAGGCAGCGCTGCCCACCTGGGAGTGCTTGGACACCCAGTGCCGCAGCACGTTCAGCACGCGGTTGGTGGCGGCTCTGCGGATCACAAACTCCTTGTCCCCGTTCCGCTGGTCCGTCGGGAACCCTGAAACTGCCAGGAGCCCTCAGCACGGCACAGCTCCTTGGGAAGGGCTCGCAGCCCCTCTGGGGCTGCCAGAGGAGCACCCCCTCCCTGTGTCAGCAGGCAGGGGGACACCCGGGGACCTGCACAGCCCTTGGGCAGTGCCATGCCCAGAGCCCAGGGCACAGCTGGAGCAGGCTCTGGGGGCTCTGGGCTCCCCCAGCCCACAGTGTGCCTGCAGGGAAACCCCCCTGGTGGCAGTGGGTGCCCCTGGGGCAGGTACCTGCGCTGGCCAGGGACATCCTGCGGTACTTCTCCTTGGTGGGGGTGCCCTCGTTGGCCCCCGCCGTGGCGATGGCGAAGGCGGAGGTGGCAGACAGGGCGCTGCGGGTGCTGTCCAGGTCCCGGCAGGACGTCATCACCATGCCATTGTTGTAGGAAAACAGCGAGAAATCTGCGGGAGAGGAAATCCAACACCCCTGTGGGCACTGCTGCTGCCAGACAGGGCCCCACACGTGCCAGCCCCCCGAGACACGGGCACCCCCAGACCTCACTCGTTACCTGATGAATTTTTGCACTTGACGGACTTGGGAGTCGTTGGAGATTTTGTTGGTGATGCTTCAGCTTCTGCTTCATCGCTGTGGTTGGGATCTGTGTCCGACTCTTCCCTGACAGACACCTCTGAGCCTGGGAGGACAGGGAACCCCTTTACACCCACTGCTCACAAACGCAGCCACCTTTCAGTTCTTCCCCATTTTCCTCAAGTCTGCCCCATTCCAGCTGGGGACAAAGCTACCATGTGTGGGAAAGGTACAGATTTCTGACGTTTCTGTGGGATACTTTGGAACAGGTTTTTTCCTCGAGGTGAGGGGGTTTGGGTGGCTTTTTTGGTTTTGTTATTAAAAATTACTGAGTTTTCAGGAGGCAGGAGCTCTCTGTGCATGCACCTAAACCAGCCCCTGAGTACCAGAGCCCAAACCCACAGGGACTCACTCTGCTTGCCCGGCAGGGACTCCTCTTGCTTCTCCGCGGCCGCTTCTCCCTCGTCGGGGATCTTGTTGGGATAGGCACTGGACACGTAGAGCTTGTTGATGTCCAGCGTGGTCTTGCTGAAGGGGGCCATGGAGGAGTAGACGCCGGCGTAGCCGTTGGAGGAGCAGCTGAGCGCGGCCAGGTCGAGCGCCTTGCCGCCGGTGATGATGGGGATGTTGAGGGACAGCTTCCTGCGCCGGCTGGGCGACGACGACTTGCTCAGCGACAGCGGCGGCGGCGACGAGAACTTGCGGTTGGCCCGGGGCGACTTGGGGGGCTCCCCGTAGAGCAGCTTGTTGTTCTGGCTGTTTGCAAACAGCAGCTCCAGCGACCTGGCAGGGACAGGGACAGGCTGAGCTGGCACCCGCCCTGCCCACGAGGTGGTGGGGATCCCCTGTGGCACTGGGACCCCAGGGTGTCCCTCCAGGCACAGCAGCAGAGCCAACGTGAGCCCCATCGCCCTGTGGGCAGCTCCTGGCCTTCCCAGGAGCGGGGACACCCGCACAGCTTGGATTCATCTCCATCCCCTGTTTGGGGTTATCACAGCTCACGGGGAGCCGTGACAGTCCCAGGGTGGCAGCAGGGACAGCGCAGGTCCCTCTGCAGCCTCACCGTGCAGGGATGGCACTGATGGGCTTCTTGTAGATGGTGATGAGCTTGTCGAGCACGACGAGGGCGGTGGTGAAGACGCGGTAGGAGTGCAGGAAGGTGTTGAGGAAGTCGATGCTCAGGAAGCGCAGGTCCGTCAGCCTCTCCAGCAGCCGCTCCACGCTGGCATAGCGGATCTGCAGGACCTTGCAGGAATTCATCGTTTTACTGAACCTAATGTCAACATCATCACAATACAAGCTGGCATCAGACCTGCAGAGAAACGAGATTTCTGTGGCTCCAGCCTGGAACGAAACCAAGAGACCATGGGAAGCAGTGCAGGAGGGAGCCCTGTTCCTATGGGTGTCCCCATGGGAAACACGGGTGGGGATGCTCCCAGGGGAAAACCCAGGAACCCACACCCTGGAATGGGCTCCTGGAATGGTGGAGTGCTCAGCAGGCAGAGGGATGTGGACAGGCCATCCCCAGGTGCACACAAGCCAAGCCCCCTCCCCTGTCTGGCAGCAGGGAATGGGGCAGGAACACCCCGTGCTGCCCAGTCCCCCCAGCTGGGAACAGCCCACCTCATCCCACACATGTCCCAGCACAGCCTTTGCACCTCAGGACCTACAGAGAGGACAGCCTCCCTGCCCCTCCCTTTTGGCACTTTTACCCCTCTTTACTATTGCTATTTTTCCCTGAACCCTCCCCCTTGGCAATCCCACCTCCCCAGCAGGCACAAATCCCTCAGCAGCCAATTAATGCTGCTAATCACCACACTGGGACGGCCCCTGGAGCACACGGGTGAGGTCCCAGGGGGTCCCAGTGCTCCCGAGGCTCCTGGCAGTGTTGGGCTGCCCCAGGAGCTGTGTCCTGGCCCTGCACACTCACTTGATCATCTGGGGCACGGTGACCTTGGAGTTCTCCTCGAAGGCGTTCATCATCAGCCCGTTGCAGCGGATGTTGTCCACGCACTGGAGAGACATGGGCAGCAGATGGAGGAGCTCAGGGCTGGGCTTTCCCCAGAGCAGACACATCCCTGCTCCCTGTGGGTTCCCACACCCAAGGGTGCCAGGAAAGCTCCAGGGTGAAAACCCAGGCTCAGGGTGGGCAGTGGGGCCATGGGCACACAGAAAACCCAGCGTTACCTGCGTGCCCCAACCCAGCAGGGACCCCGTGGCAGCTCCTTGTGCTGAGAGCTCCACAGCCCTCCCTGCTGGGTCCTACCTGGCTGATGTCACTGGTCCATGCAGCCTTCTCCTGCCTGGATGAGGCCACCAGGATAACGGTGAAAGATGAGGAATCCTTCGGCTCCACCACGATTTTGAAGTCAAGGTGGTCAATGTCTTGTCCTGATGTTTTGGCTTTGGAACAGAAAAAGCCCACACAGTGATTGGGAAAGCCTTTCCCATCCCCTCTCTTCCCGCCAGCTTTCAAGGAAGGTTTATTCAGGTTTTTGTGGGTTTTTGGCTGCCCCAGGAAGGTCAGGTCTAAGTGTGGGTTGGCTTGGTTCACAGTAATTAATTAATCTAATTAAAACTCAATCATGGAGTCCTTGACTCTACTGGCACCTGGATGTGACCCCCTCCCCAAGCACACCCAGCCAGCTCCCCAGCACCCACCGTCCTCGTCGGTGCTCTCGGGCTCCTCCACCAGCGTGCAGTCGATGAGGGAGATCACCCCGTTCTGCAGGGACAAAGAGGGCTCAGCCCTGCCAGCCTGGGGCTGGGCATCCCCAGCACAGCCCCACCAGGCCGGGAGTCAGGGTTCGGCAGTGGGACCCCCCCAGGGTTCCTCTGTGCTTGTCCCCCACCCCAGGGCTGGGGACAGGTCCGTGTCCCCAGGGGACAGCCCAGGGGAGGGGACACACACACAGCCCCTGCTTGCACTGGGAAGAAGATCTGTGCCTGCTGGGATCTCTGGGCTTTCCTTGTCAAATTGATCAACTAATTCGTTTATAAATTATTTAATAGGAGCTTTAAATTTAATTTTCCCAAAGTCTGTTGTTGCAATTATCAGCTCTTTGCCACGGACTGTAATTCTTCAAACTGATAATTTAATGCCAGTAACAAGCAATTTCTGTAAGATTCTTGCTCAATTAACTGCCAAACTTTCCCAAATAAACACGGGAACCCAGGGAGCAACCAGAGGAGCTGGGAGTGCTACAGACAGCCCAGGCTGTGATTCCAGCTTCTTCCAGAACAGGCTGTCAACATTTCTCTGCAAGCCAGGGTGAATTCTTTCATCAAGATCGTGTAGTTTCTCATCTCTCCCATGACTCAGCTCCGACAAGGACCACGTGAAGTAAATCCAGGTGGGCGCAGGCTCCCAGCCCAGCATCCCTGGGGCTGTGCCAGGGGAGGCCAAGGTGGTCCCGGAGCCCTGTGTCACCA